AGTGCTTACTGAGACCCCACAATCATACTGCTGGGACCCCACAATCAGACTGCTGAGACCCCCACACTGCATACTGTTTACTGAGACCCCCCCACACTGCATACCACTTAAAGTCCTCTAACTCCTGTGATGTGATTTGCTCTAAAGATTTCAATTTTGTGCATGATTTTTATTTTACAAGAAGGGACACACACTTGTGGAGTTTTACCTAACTAACTGTCAAACAAACAAACAAAACAACAACAAAAAACAAGGCTTCAGAATCGAAACCCCTCTGTGCAGACATTGCTTTCCTCATGTTTATGTTTGGGGCACTGTGGTGACCGGAATGGCCCCTAAGGATAAGGAAAAAGCTCCTTCATGAATGAGTTACCTTAGGTTATGGCTTGACTGGATTTCCTCATCTGGACATGAGATAAATATGTCTACCTGTATTGCACACACAGAAGAGTAACTGACACCATTCCAGACGCAACTTCTTACTTTACGGTCATATTACAGCTTGGATCAGTGCTAAGTTATATAATTCCTGGAGTCTACAGAGACAAATCCTACAGTGAAACAGACTCAACAATTTTCACTGATTTGAAGGAAAAGTTAATTGCATGTGGTGAGGGAACTTCCTGGGGTGGCTGAAAAGAGACAGGAGTAATTAATTTAAACTTTAAGAGACTGCCAATGCCCTTTTTAGAATATGTGTGAATGTTTTCCGTTTGAAAATCTGGGAAAGGAATGCCATATAAGGAAAATTATCTTGTAAACAACAAAAGAGGCAGAGATCAACCACTTCCCATAAGGGAAACTATACACTGTATTGATTCTACTGCTAAAGGTTTTGAGTCCTTTTCTTTGTAAAGAAGTATCTACCTGTCACTCAGGAAGTGGGAGCTGTCAGACTTTTATTCCCCCGCTAACGCGATAACAACACTGAGTGCTCAGAGCATTGGCAAACAACTTTCCTTGGCTTTGGGCTCTAGTGCGATTTTACTTTAACCTGGATGTGCTCATTCTCTTGAACAACCAGAGTTTATTGTTGTTTTATTTACTGAGAGCCTTGCAAAGAGCTGCATTTCCAAACTGGGGACAAAGACAAAGATCTGCATTTGTCTTGATAAGTAGTTAAACCTGAAGCTCACAACTTGGCTTTTTTGTTTGTTTGTTTTGTTTTGTTTGTTTGTTTTAGATTGGAGGTTAGAACTTGAGGACAAATAGACAAACACAAACCATCAACCATCAAGACAAACCTTCTTCTTCGACTCTTAAAAATAGAGCCTAGATAACTTGCAAACTGCATCAGACTTTCTTGGTCCTACAGGGTTGGAATATAGATCTCACGGGCAGATGGTAGCTTGTTTTAACTGTGTCTGATGCGTATTCACATGCTCACAAGAAGTAATTTGGTAATGGTGGCTCATTAGAAACAAATTGTAATGCTGTATGGAATTCTTCCGTGAATAACTATCTCTAGCAATTCCCCTCAAGTTGTGAAACTGTCCAGCCTTTAATATTTCCCTATACTCTGTTTCGCATATAAAAATGTCTACTGTAGGAGTCACTTGCCACATGTAATCAATTGCATTGGTTTTAATTGAAAAAGATAGCTAGAAATTTTCTGTGGATGGTTTTAACAGTACAAGGAGTACAAGGTGCTTTTATTCAACAGAAACATTTGTAAAATAAACCGTGAAAGCAAAAGCAGGCTACAAAAGAGGGGGGTGGGTTCAGGTTGCCTCTGCTTTGCTCAAACACGTTACAGGTTGCTATGCCACGATGGATAAACACTAGAAAGTGTCAATTAGCATTTGATAATGGAATTTCAAACATTTCCCCCACCCATATCACTATGGAAAATATGTATAGGGATGGTAAACGTTCCTCCTCCAGCTGTCACAATCGCGTGGTCACGTAATCTTCGTGGGCTGCTGTGTCCGTGGGGCTTAAATCATAGTCTATGCTCGAGTCCTCCTCGTGGGCATGCTTCTTTTTCGGTATGATAGGGACAGTGTCTTCCACCACCACCTTCTCTGACTTGAAGGAGCACACTCTCTTGCCTACCTGTAAACCCAAAGTGTCCGTATTCCTTTCTCTATGGTCTACTAGTACACACTGTTCATTGAGCCCAGGAATGCTGAGGTCACCCCGTGAAGCTAATCCTTGGGATTCCAGTTGGATATTTCTCTCAAGTGGTCCTGCCGCCTGTTGACGAGCAATTTCTTCTGAAACAGAGAAGATTTGGTTGGCGTTTGGCTCAGCAGCATTTTGTTTTGACCGTCTATGAAATAACCCGAAGTTTTTGATATCAGCCACAAAATTCACTTTCCTCTGCTTCTCCCTGGGCGGCTCCTGCACCACCAGGGCGGAACCATTGCTTATGGTCTGTCTCTCGGAGGCAATGGCCGCTGACCTCGGGTGGATCAGCGTGGTTAAATCAAAGAGGCTGAGATTCTTTTTCTTGTCCTTGCTATTACCTTCGCTGTGGCTCTTTTCGTCGGCGTCTGCTGAACTCGCTGCCGCGTTGCCTGACTGTATTGTGGAGAGCTTGCTTCCTCGGAGCAATCCCAGAACTTCAAAGCGGAAGCTAGAAATGTCTTGCTTTAGTTCCTGAGTGAGATTTAAATGACAGATTAGGGGGTCACTTAGGGAAATATTATATCCTAATGTCACAGATCGATCTGAAATGGCCCTGCACCTTTGAAGACCTAGGGCTCTGCTCTCCTGGGACTCTACTTAGCAAGCCAGGCTCTCTCGGTGTCACCTGGTGTCATTTTGATGTAACTTCCCTGTTGGCATCTTATGTCCTAGTATGACGGTTAGTCTTCACTTGCCAACATGACTGAGCAGAGAGATCCCCAAAGCATGCTTCTGGGTGTGTCTGTGTTGCTCAATGAAGACACAAGCCCCACTCAATGGATTAATTTCGTGATGGATTCATAATACCATGGCACTTAGGGCTAGGTGTGACCTACAGGGTAAAAGGAGGTCACAATGAGACTATCCATGGGACTACATAGCACCTTTGGCCCCTTTCCACTCCTGGCAGCCATGACGGGAACTATTCCACCTTACCCTCTCTGCCAGATGGATCAACACTTCTAAAACCATGACCCAAATACACACTTTCTCTTTTAAGGTGCCGCTCTCTAGTGTTTTGTCACAACGAGGAGAAAAATGGCTAATACACAAAAAGAAATCTTCTAAGGGTGACATAAAGGGAAATAGAAGGGATTGTACTCTCTGTCACTGTTTAGCGTTTTGTTTTGTTTTGTTTTGTTTTGTTTTCTTTGAGATGGTGGTTTCAAATTATTTTCTCTCTGGAGTCTGCATCTAACTGTCAGGCTACTTCATGCTCTTGGGTTTCACATGTCTTAAAACATTTTTCTATGCAAAGGGGTATCCAAAGCAAACTAACATGGAGCCTTCCCTTCCGAGAAACTTCCAAGTCTCGGTACCATGGGGAATGTCTTACGCCAACCACTGTGTCCTTAAGGCCTGGCTCCAATTCACATGAGACTGCTAGATCTTTTTCCTATGTCTTTAGGAAACTTCTTTGCTCCCACCCCATCCCCCACTGCCATACAGGGCAAAGAGAATCACTTAGCCTCATCATTGATATTTACAGTAAAATATTCTGGAATTTAGTTAATTGACAATCTGTGCTGTAGGCTTGCCAGTTCCCTGACCTGCTGACCTCAATGAGTGCTTAGCTGCAGTTGCTGTAAAGGTCTTTAATGCTTTGGTGTGTTTGATTTTGCCTGTCGAATCTTATTCATTTTAAACACTCCTCTAACATTTCTGGACAGTCATGTGGGATAAAAGAATCGCTTAACATTTAATCTGAAACTTCTCATTTTCCTATCTTCACTCACTACCTGTCACATGACTTTAAAATTAGAAAATCAAGTCCAAAGACTAAGCTTAAAATGAAAGCACACCTTAAATCCCTGCCCCCTAGAGCTGCAGTGACCCAGAAACTTTGTGCTATTGTTAGTGGGCTGGTTCGTAAACACTTCCAACTTAGAAATCAGGCTGACATCCACATGGAAGGCTTACCCGGTAGCAGGGATTGGGGTCATGGGTCAGCATGCTAGTAGGGACTAGGCTTTCCCTTTCAACTAAGTTAAGTCCCCTTGACAATGTGTTAAGCATGTTTCAAAGCAATTTGGGAACTATCTCTACTTCGCTGTTGTTTTTCTGTCTGTCTTCCCTCTCCCTAAGCTCCATAGACATTTAATTTGAAGCACAGAAGGCATGACACGGATGTCTGTAAGAACACATAGGGTTGCGTTTGCAGCTCTGGTTTTAAAGGCTGCCTCCACAGGCTGCCTCCAGGTGAGGCCTTACCTTGACGTTCTCCTCTGTCAGGCCTTCTTCAGTTTTGGCCTCTCTGATCATGGCCGCCACGTACCGCTTCACCAGATTCCTCATGACCTCCTGAGAGACAGGATTGACATTCAGTTCAGGAGTTCAGTTTCTGCCCATTATAACAGCAATCTGGGGACTGAACACCAGCATTACTTACTTGATATTGGTGGTGTCTCCTCAGGTTGTCAGCAGCCCGCCGCTGAAAGGGAAAAGATATTCCTGTGTGGTTATACAGGTCCGTTATTATCCGAAACTTTACTGCTACTATAAATAAGGCTGTTCTTGTTGTCTTTTGTCACCAAAGCGGGGCGGGAGGGTCCGCAATGAGCCATAGTTACAGAGAGGCATCACACACATCCAAAGAACCAGTGGACAAAAGTCAAAAAGCACATGTATTTAATCTACAGGATTCTTCAAACACAATTGCAGTGATAGAAGCTTGGTTCTGGGGCAGGACAGAAAAGAATGAACTAATTGCACTGGATACACACTCTGCAACCCTGGAAATACCTCAAGGTGGAGAGAGGAAATAACCAGGGAGGGAAATAGCAAATGGAATTAATGCTTTTTTTTCATAAATATCAATGCAGAAATATATAGAAGTTAGTCATCGTTGGTGGTGATACATGACTGGAAATCTTACAGGGCAGTGAATTTGCTATAGACCATTGAAGGGAATTCCCATTTTAGTTAGATGAGATTTCATAAAAATCAATGAATGAAGAATTAATTATTCATCCACACCATTAATTAATCTTATGATTTTTAAGGTGGTGAGTGTGACTCTCAGCCACCTTTAACCATGAAGTTTAGGAGGCGGCACCCAGAGAAGCCAGGGCTGATGATTGAGTCCTCCCAGTAAGTCCTCCCCCACTGAGTCACGCCCACTGTGCTTCCTACGTCAGTCAGTTAGCTCTTCAACGAGATTGTGATGAGGAGAGGGGTAGGTGTGTGCGCAATGACGGGACGGAAAGAGTGGGAAGAAGATGATGATGACGGGAAAGGTCCATTAAGAGCTGAGTTAAATAATAAATGAGATGAAAATTTTATCTTTTCGTCTTTCACAAGTACTCTAAAAACACTAGCAAAAACCTGACTATGGTGACCCCACATAATGCATTTTAATAAACTGTAACATTAACCCTGAAGGACGAACACTGGAAACAATCTAAATAAAAACACTTACACAATAAAGGGATTCGTTTGGTATATTTTGAGAAACAAAGGGAATACTAGTTCTGGGTGTCTAATAAGGCTTTGATCTTCTTGGTCCTTAGTCAATATTTAATCACAGGCTGATAAAATAGAATTTTAGAAAGAGCTGTGCATACATATAAAACGCTCATCAGAAAATATATTTTAAAAGTCAAAATTCCATTCTACTGATCCTAAGCAGTGTCTCTGCTTCAGGACAAGCAGTGGGGTTTACAGAAAGGAGGGAGACAAGGCTCCGACTCCTAAAGCCACCAATCACTGAGAACATCGCTCAGTGCATGGGAACTGGATTCTCTCTATGATTAAGGCGTTTGCCTCCAAACTAGATTAGACTATCTTGAAAAGTGTAACATGGAGTTTTATGACTAGGCCGCCAGATGGGGGTGGTGTCTGCCTCCTGTTGAGACAACACTCAAGATAAACTTCAAAAGGAAAAGCACTTCCAGAAGGAAGCAGTGGCCTTCTGAGCTCTGTGGACCTGCTTCAGCTTAAGAAAAGTAAAAAACTGTTGTAAACCAATTTCTTAAAATATACTGAACAGATGACTTCCAGGATGCTTCAAGTATACACACCCTTAATTTGATAGAAAGCCAACTCAGTCGGTTCGCCTTCCCTGGTTTCTTAGAACCGTTTTAAAACGATTCAAAAAGATCATGCCAAAATAAGTCTGAGGTCATGTTTGAACTTTACAGAGCACAAAACTCAGCTTAACGTTGATAGAGTTATGAATGATAAGCAAGGATATCATGGTGGGCTTAAATATTAAAACGGGCACAGTTTCTTTTAGGTTCTAGAACCTTCCCTAATATCTACAGTCAACAAGTTTAATTAAAATAGGAAAAGGAACAAAGAACATAGTTTAAAGTGGACCATAAATATATTTGACTTGGGAAAAGCTTTTTTTTTAAAAAAAAAAAAGGAAGGAAGGAAGTAAGTTTATTTAACTAATTGAGGATTTAAATTGCACTGGTTGGGTTTAAGGCTAATTTAAGGTGGTTCATATTTTGTCAACTGATTATTTTCTGTCTCCTGGGTCATTTACATAATACCCTTTAGTCTTGCAAGGGCCACGCAGGCCGAACATCTCATCTCTTTTTTCCCCTTCTCTGGTGTCTCAGCAAAGATCCCAGTTTTCATTTCTGTTTTGCCTGCCTGTCCCTCTTGTCTGCATTAGAAGTGGGTGGTGGTGGTGATGCAAGGTGAAGGAAATGGGATCAGGCTAGACACGGAGATGAGCTGATTGCACCTCAGACGGAGAGACTTCAAAGTTTCACAGTGGAAATAAACTCACTGGGGAATTTGAACTATTAAACAAAAGATTTGATTCACAGCATCTGTTATTGGGGTCAGCGTCCTTCACCTGCCCTCTTCCTCGCAGTGTAATTATGGGCCGACACAAATTAAAAAATATTCCTGAACCCTCCAACTTCATAAGCTGACCAATCCCCAGGATTCCTTCCGAGGAAACATAATTTGAATGTGTCTGCTTCTCTTTGCAATGCATTTGCTTCTCTTTTATGGATTTCATCCTGGTCCCAGGACTTTGCTCAGCTAGATCATGAAGTAATGAGAGGTGGGAACAGGAAATTTGCTTTTAAGTGGCACAGCAAGAGAAGAGATGGTCAAACTCAGAAGTCAACCATCTTCTGCGGGAGCCCGGGATTTATGAAATTCTCTGCATGGCATTGCACACCTGTCACAGTCCCTGTGAATTGTCTTTGTCTCTGTAGCACAGCTCTTTGCTTGTACAGCCAATCTAAGATACATTTATTAGGTGGCGACATGAGTGTTCATATGTAAAATTATTCTTTCACAGGCAAGAAACCTTTGAATGATATGACGGATGAAACACGCTTAAATGGCTTGTGTTCTACATGTAAGGTGATGAAGTGAGAGAGACACAGAAATGGAAAAATATACCACTAAACACACACAGTGGGGAGCCTGTGAGTGGCCTGTGAGCACAGGGGAGAGAGAGGTAAGATTAGGGGCTAGGAGGGAGGTTTCCCGCTGAACATGGGGCACCAAGATTTTGACAAGTCAAGCAATATAGATGCTACTGAAAATTGGAATAGGATGAATGAACCTGCCTGGTGCTAGAATGTGACAGAGATTGGCAAAATTGGTCTGGATTCTTCATGAGAAACCTTCCATGGCATAGTCCAGTCAGTGACTCTTAGGGTCTGGATTTTGAATTAACCAGGTGTCCTGGGAAGGAAGTGTGACCACTGTCTGGCATCAGGCAAGGAAGACTTTCACAGCTTCTGGCCATGGCCCTAGACCCTTGGTGTTCTTGGTATGGAAGTTGTATCACTCGAGATCTTCGTGTGCAGCTTCACACAGGTCTGCACATGGCTGGGATCAAAGCCCTTAGGGCCTCAGTCTGCATGCAACTACAGTGAGCTCACACTCTGGGGTACCGGGGCTTTGGGTTTCCAATTCACAAATCAAGGCGAGGAGAGCAGGAGCGTTAAACTTACAATTACTCTCTACAACATACGTAAAATTGCTGCCAATTAGCAATATCGTTAAATGTTATAATAGATGCACCATCAATGATACTTGGAGTACTTATAGCCTTTCTAGTGGGGGACAATCTGCCTTTAGACGGTGTTTTATGATCTTCAGGGAAGAGATCACATCCTAATTACCACTGAAACAGAACCAACACGAGAGGTGACCAAAGTGTTTATGGCAATAATGTAATGAGGGGTATTTGATTTAAAGGCACTAAGGGACTAAGGATAATCAGATTTCTGCAAGCTTTGGCAGGGCTGAGAGTTGCAGTCTGTAACTTTTAATTTTAATTCAAATGGTTGTCAATTCTGCAACTGTGATCAAAGACTTTGTTTAGCATGTGTCTAGGGAAGACATGCACATGATGTTGCGGTTCTCTTTGTCAGTTATACCATATGCACCTGGATTACATGTGGACTTTTTCCTAACAAGATGGCATTCAAGGCGGAGGCTGAAGGCATACCTGCCTGTCACCTTGGTATAAGCCATGGCTCCACAGGGTATGCTAGGCTTGGCTGTGGCATTGAAATCATAGAACTAATGGAGAGAGAACAATGAAGTAGCGAGAAGTCTTGGCTGCTGTAAGGGAAGTTGAGGTTCCAACAGCTGCACCAGGCTCTCTCAAGCAGAGAGGGCTTTGCAGCCACAGAGGTGCCCTGGGGAAGGCAGTGTAACATTTGCCGGCTTTTTAGCTTTTCTCCTTTCCAGGTCTACTGTGTAGAATAATGTCAGACCCTCTGCAAAGAGCCGATTCCCTGCAGTCAGCTCTCAGGGTCATTTTCTTTTGTTTCCACTATGGTTTCTGTCTATCGCTGAGCCTCCGGCCCATGAATTATGCCGTTTAGCCTTTCTTCTGCTTAGTGAATCCCTGGAAGGCTGCAACCTGCTGTGTTGGCAAAAGGCCAACGCAGGACGGGCTTTTTACTCCAAAAATTGCGGTTTGACTCTGAGATGGATTGACTTAGCGTCCTCTCTAATACACTTTCTCGTCATTACAGAACGCAGTTGTGAATTATTCTCAGTGATCACACTTTCTACATGTATGAAACAAAGGTGCAAGGTTCCTGGGTATCATATTGTCAGACCAAGCACTCAGGATCTTACTCCTAAATTTCCAGGAGTACCAAGCCCTTTCTATACTATCTGCCATTTGGAAAAGTAAATGGAATACAAACTCCCTTGCAGCAAATCTTATAGTAGAAACTCAGGGGAAGCCAGGTTTTGCATGGATGGTCGATATCCCTTCTGTAAGACCTACTGAGAGCAGCGCAGCTCGGTCTGTACATTTTGACAAATTACCTCTAAAGATGAAGTGCAGGCGTGGACCACTAACTTCCTTCTTTTAAAATGCTAGGCGGGGCAAGGGCACAGACTCTAATTCGCTTGCACCGACTTAATTAATTATATTTCCGTGACAACTCATTAGACTTTCATAGCTCATCTACATCGCAGGGCTGAATGACACTC